TTTATTGCAGGGTGAAGATTTGCATACAATGCTAACTGATTATCAGCGTATATATTACGAGAAAGCGATACTTACGAAAAAATTTTCAACGTTAAACGAAAAATTGAGTGGACCGAAGCCAACGTTGCTTGCAAAAATTCGTTCGGTATTCTTGTCGTCAGCAACAAAAGTGACGAATGAAAAAAATGAAAAGAATATGCTAGAATTCGATCTCGAGACCCCCATCAGCAAACGAACACTAAAATGGCATTTTTCTGGGCAATTGTTGGACGATTCAGGAATTTATGTAAGTGTTACCCTTACATCATCTTGCATATGTTGTCGTTAAGTCTCACAGTTGTTCTGACGTAACTATGCGAGGCCCTTCAATTCTGATTCACATGTAGCTATTTTGATTTTGCCAAGTGCGAAAGAAATGCTTGCTTTTGTGGAAATAAATCACAATTTTAACTAAGAATCTCATTTTTTTTTTGCACTCTGGTCTGTGTAACAGCTGCATAAAACGCATATTGTCGCACCTCTGTTTATGTGGTTTTAAATGTGTGTGTATGTATGTGTGTACGTATGTATACGTGTCCGAATGCGTTTTTTTGCGTATTTTCGACGGAGGAACCACAAAAGCTAGCGCGCTGAAAAACTTAGCAGCTTAGAGACCACACAATAGGTCGAGTACTTTTGTACAAACAGAAGTGTAAAACAGTGGAAATTCTTAGCAGCAAACGTCCGCTGGATGGGACTGCGCAAAATGCATGGTCACACTGCTTACTTTGGTGAGCATCGTTGTTAATTGATAAAATTCCTTTGACAAAAATCAGGATCGCTTTTTAACTCCGTCAATTTCGAAACACTGTAATAATTTTTTCTTTAGAAACCATCAAAACCTGCTTTCCTACGAGTAATTGCTTTTTTTGCTACCACTTAGTTTATTTTTGAGCCTTAATAGCATCAACGAAGTTCGTTGGAGAATGAGCAAAGGCATCATCAGGCAAATTGCTCTAGGTTCACATTCATCTGAACGTTTTGTAACCATTTTGTTGAAATGTCATATCTCCATTCCTTAGTTCTACAGAGCCAGTGTTAATTACGCTTTTCGTGCAAAAATCGGCATACATTCCAGATCTATTTGCATGTGACACGACCAATTTTGAATATTTTATCGCTGGTAATCGATGAGTGTGATCTTAGTTCAATTGATGGTTAGTTTTTCAGGATTGAAAGTTTTCTTGAGACAATTAAAGTTAAGGAAAATGAAAAGAGAGACTGAATCGTAAAATTCTGTAAAGATTGAATCGATTTTCGTTCTTGATCTGAAATTTAAGAAAATTAACCTAAAGTGAAGGAGAATGAAGGAGTTGCCGACTGCAAAAGAAAAACGACGATAAAGCAGTAATTGACCAAAGTAACCAAAGTAAAGGGATTGTTAGGATTATTTGCAACACTTGGACTGGTTATTAATCCATAGCATCGTACTTCATCTGTTCAGCTAACAGCTTTCCCAGTTATTTTGACTGATGT